GACGGCGTCAGCCATGTTTCTGTGACTGCGATTATGTCTGGCCTAGTTGAGTCAATCTGTACACCTAGTTCCGGTAGCTTATTTAGTAAGCTCCGGGCGTTGGTATAACAGATCCGAAGCCTATTTAGGTGGCCTCGTGCTTCACCCAGAGTGGCTTCGGCATCATCCTCTGTCGAAGCCTCACAACCCGAAAATTTACAATTTTCAGGTCTTTTTCGCCAGCGTCTAATCTGAGCTGTAGTTCCTTTTCGGCTTCCCGTCTTTTAACACGGTCCGCCAACGGTAAGTCCTTACGGAGGAAAACTCCTGAACCCTTTAATTTGTGTCCATTTTCTAGGATTAAGTTGCGTTCGTTTGAGGATTTGAAAACGACTTTGAGTAGTCTAGACTGATTTGGTTTCAGATGCGCTAGATTTCCTAGTCTATACACCTTTAGCAAGGTGACTCCGGGGATGTTTTTGGGCATAACTTGGTTGAGTGTTTGTTTTATCAACACATTGTCATGCTCAAAACGAGCTTTCCGTTCTAAGTTGTCACTCTCCTTGACTCTATGGAGAATGACTGATCTGTCGCTGTGATCAGACCTCGGCTTGTCAACCCTTTTGGTGGAGGTATGATTTCCTTTTACGTCATTTTGGCGTTTTTTTCTTACGACCCGTACCCAATCGCCAACGTTCTTTGGAGTGGTAACCACATTCGCGTCAGGCGTACTGTGGGATTCCGGAAGAGTCAGGAGGACTTGGGAGATTGGGTCATCTTTCGCGCTGGAAACCGATCGAGCCTTGCGGTTTCGGCTTCCTGAAGTTCCCTTCTGGGTACCATTTTTGATACGAGGGACAGAAGAGACTTTTTTGCTCGAGTTTCTGGTTGTAACAGTCCTCTTTGGAGGATGTTCTTCCTCCTTAGTAGGGTGTGGGTCTGCAGTTTTTGGACTCACTTGGGCCTGCCTTGTGTCAATCTGCATGTCGACAGATTGAGTTCTGACTGATGTATCCCGACCGCGCTTGCCGAGACACTTTTTTGCGGCATTTACCATTGAAATGGCCTCGGTTAGCAGGCTATTTGCATCCAAACAGCACTGTTGACATAGCCATACACACCCATTTTTACTAAACCGCTTGAAAGCTGCAGGTGTTAGATTCGTGCAAACATCGTGGTACCAACCTTTGCACTCATCGCACTGCATGCCGCTATCAACAGGATATCGACATCCTGGGCGGTGGCAAATGCTTTTGTTGCATCTTCCAGTCGTTTTAGGATGCGAAAGTGAGTGTTGACTATAAGTAGAAAAAAAACTATAAACAGTTAGGACGTAAGTACTAACAGACACAATGGAAAAAAAAGGTACTCTGGAGTACCGACGATAAAACTATTTAGGATACCAAAGATGATACTCTAATAGAATACTTTAACTGAAAGAAATTCAAAGTATAAAAACAGTAGTCTTGATACGTTAATAACGATCAAAACAATAGAATTTACTCAACGAGGAAAAATACCACTGTCCTTTTTAAATAGCGCGCACAGTTCTACCAACAATGTTCCGGAATATGGACAGTTTCTCGAGAAACATGTGATCTTAGTTGGTTAGCTGTTACCAAAGTTGTATAGCACGGAGTACCCAAATATGAATTGGGGCGGATGCTTGGCGGAGACCATTTGACTAGAATGTGTCCAGCATGATCAGTAAGACCAAAGTTAATGTATAAGACTTGCGGAACTATTTTTTTGGATTTGTCTGTCGCTACAGCTCAGTGCCCACCCTCCTCAGTATGGTAGCGATTATTCCAGAGAGTGACCAGACACAAGTTTTGACCCATGATCGTGCTGCTTACAAACATCCTACTGATAAACTGCACGTTCAGCAGCATCTGGTCATCCTTTTATAATCTAATGGACCTTGTGGTGCACGAAAATGATTTTTCAAAAATGTACAATGGAAAGTTCGATTCGTAATTTTTGTCTGCTGGAAAAGAAACAAGTGGCGTTACTCGTACTTACAAAAGTGAAACAAAATGTATGAAAAAAACCGTTATATGTGCATATAAATACCTTGCAACAGCAAGAAAACCCACCCGTCATATGGTTTTTCAGGATTGTTTTGTGAAGAAAGTACACAGACATAAGGAAATTTAATCAGAAAGAATATATATGTAAATACGCTAAAGAAACCCATTTTTGCTTTGTCTTTGTTTTTGGCACAATAAATATGTAAAATGCTACCAAATGGCAGTAGAACATGAACAAAATAAAAATGAACGGGCTTACAAAATGCCTTATACCCAGTAGTCTTTCAAGTTTTCTGGCGATCTCCCGGTTCTTCCAGAGCTTATCGTCTTAGGTTGGTTACCAGATATCACTGAAATTTCATTACGAACGCTAATTATCAGGGATTCCATCTTAGTTGTAGGGATTGTGTCCCTCAATTGTTCAGCAAGAGAGTCAATACATATGTGGCGCCCTACTAAATAAACGGCCTTTAGTCAGTTGGTGCTGAAGTTAACTTTCGTTCAGTTCTTATCAGTAGTATGGTGTTTACGTTAGTCATGATAAGTGCATCTATGTGTTCCTAGTTAGAGTACACCCAAATAGAAAAAATACGGCAGAAACGAGATTCAACAGTTTCTCCCACTTTCTGACGTTTATATTCATATCAAGTCAACAAAATCGTTCTGCAATCTGCCTGATGGTTCATCGTATATGTGGATGGCAAAGTTATTGTAATGTATGTTTCGGCACAATATGACGATTCCTACTTGCAAATGTGTCACATATTAAAGTTTCTTAACCCGTTTCCATCTTTTTGAATCGAAATTGTCTGGGATACGTCGTGATAAAGACCATTATCTTTTACCGAATGCTGGGATAGTTAAAATAGTCAAATTCTTACGAATCGTTCAAAGACGTCATGTAAAACAAGATATCTGTAACGAAATAGTTGTTCAAGAAGTATGCTCTTCAGCAAGTTTCGAGTTCATGTCTAGTTGTCAAGAGTCCCGTTTAGATAACTGTATAGACAGAATTTGACTGTTTAGTTTTAATATAAATTACCTTTGTGAATTCACTAGGCATCAGCTTTGATTGCATTCACGTAGAATAGATTCGGGACAAAATAATTGGATAGAAAACCCGATGAACGTAGCAGGATTATCTTTGCGAAACAAGAAATTTCGAAGTAAACATATTATTCGCCACTAGAGTAAACACTTAGCAAATAAATTACAGTATTTAATGGAAGAATACTTCTACTAACTTAGCTTTAACCATTAGGGCCTATTTCAGACACGTAACTTTTGCCAAGTTTTCAGATAAATGGTCCGTTTTCAAGGTTGTGACTGAACTAGTAACCCTATGTAATAAATCCTCCACAAGCTTTCGGAGTTCGACCACACCTTAACCAGCAACCCCTTTTATGATCGAAACGTCCCGACCCGGGGAAATTAGAAGCGAAGAAGTTCGAAAATATCTATTTATCCGAAAGTGTTTAATCCCATCTGGTTAGCTGTTGAATGAGAAGTGAAGCATAGAGTACCCACTTATGATCTGGCGTGGATGCGTGATCGAGTGCCTCCAGCTATATGAGTCCGGTAAAACTAATGCGGTCAGCATCAAGTGTCGATGACTCGGGTGTTTATTTGTCGCTGCAGCATTTTAAGGACGTTGTTTATGCTCCGGCATACTAGAACACTTATCATCCTCAAAGTTCTTCTCGCCTCAACAGCATGGTTTCAGAAAAGGTCATTCTTGTATGACCAACCTGCTGACTGCGGTGGATAGATGGACAACCATCCTTGATCGCAAGGGGAAGGTTGACGTCATCTACATGGACTTCTCAAAAGCTTTTGATAGGGTCAACCATGCATGTCTTATCAAGAAGCTTGGACGATTGGGTATAAAACCCCCTTTAATTGACTGGATCACTTCATACCTAGAAAACCGACATTTTAAGGTCAGGGTTAACTTCACTCTCTCTCAGGCTATGGAATGTCCTAGTGGGGTCCCCCAGGGTTCAATACTAGGACCTCTTCTCTTCTTGGTTTATATTAACGATCTTCCTCAACAAGTTTCATCTGATTTATTGCTTTTTGCTGATGATGTGAAACTTTGGAGAGAGATACGTAATCACAATGATATACTAGTTCTTCAGGAGGATCTGACTCGACTTCAAAGTTGGGCAGACGACAACGGACTTACCTTCAACACTTCAAAGTGCAAGGTAGTCCATCTGAGACATGTTGCAGACTATAGTTATAACTTAGGTAACTCACCTCTAGAAGTTTCCCAAGTTGAAAAAGATTTAGGAGTGTTGGTACCCTACGACCTGAAATCGTATGCGAACTGTGACAAAAACGCCTCTCAAGCAAACCTTGCACTGGTAAAATTGAAGCGCATTTTTGGCCAGTTTGACGGTAGAACCTTCCACATAATCTTCAACAGTTTTATTCGTCCCCACTTAGAGTACGGAAACATAGTATTTCCTCCCTCCCTCCAAAAGGATAAGGTCACTCTGGAACGTATACAACGTCGAGCCACGAAATCAGTTCGGGGACTCAAATTCAAACCTTATGAAGAGCGCCTCAAATCACTTAAACTTTACCCGTTAGAGTATAGGCGTCTTAGAGGTGATCTTCTTATGACTTATAGTATCCTTAATACTTCTGGTCATCCCCTTAAACATCGTCTTAAGCTTAGTCATAACACTAACCTGAGAGGTAACACCCAGAAATTGGAGACCCTACATAGCAGAACAGACTGCAGACACAACTTCTACTCCGTTAGAGTTGTCAAGTGCTGGAATTCGCTGTCGACTGAGCTAGTCCAAGCGACCTCCCAGGAGTCCTTTAAGAGAAAACTTGACTTATTCTTAAGGACTAAGGATAACATTTTATTATGATTTATCAAATTCTTTTTTTCCCTCTATTATCGTTCATATACCTAGGTTCTTGCCTGGAGGTATTGGTGATCCACTGCTACCAGACACGGAAGCCCGTTAAGCGAAAGCTTCTTCTATTCCGTCCTCAACGATTTGAACCATTTATCTCGCGCAATTTACAACTGACAGCGGTGTAGCCAAATAGATTATGTGCTCTTGGTCTCTATCCCGAGATTGTCATAATCTGAGGTTTGTGTTGTTTCTGATTCTTTTTGCTTTTTTAAATAAATGTAAGTGCATTATGTGCACTCGCTGGGGCGTCGATTCGCGTTTCCTTTTGTTCTTTTCTCAACCTTCATTCACGAATGAGGGATCATTCTACTCATGCTCCCCTAGTACACTAAGCGCCTTCTGGATAAACGCGAACCGCTACAACGGCATGTATTTTTTTGGTGATATTTGCTTTTCAGTATCTATATTATGTCGGAGCTCACCACTGTCCATATATGTTATTAACTGTTTGTTGTTTATAAACAAAATTGACTATAGTCAATGCTCACATAGTTGCTAATCAGAACAGCACCTTAAATACATTATTGTAAGGTAGTAGGAGGTGAATATTGTGAAACAACAAACTTTGACCCCTGTCAGACCAAACTTTATCAACTTATCGATAGCAATATTACTAGGTCCATATTAACCTGTCCTAGCGGCAAGATAAGCAACTAGTCATGCTTTTGGGATCTCGTTACCATATATATGTATGGGGAACAAAAGGGTTTAAACAAGCAAACACATGTTAATTGGGTAGCCACGGACGTAGTCAATTGTTAAATGTGGTTTAACGATTCGTTTCAAAAACTCTGCATAGACATGTACTATCGTTTTTGTTCGTATGACAGTGGTTGGTACCCATCATGATTAGTGGCGCACAATTAACTTCAGACAACAACCCCAATCATGTTATTAAGTGAATTATTCGAAAATGTAGGTTTGTTTAGATAACCGAATAATAAACGCTATTGTTAAAGCATCTTCATCAAGCTACGTAACCTAAACTTGTATGACAACGAATCTTGAACTGCCTATTTTAACAGGGAGTCAAGAAGTGGACTAAAACGGAAACACAGGTATAACGGATAAATTCTCATAATAAGGAAATTAAAGAACAACGACCTTGTTTGATTCTGAACGAAGTGGAAATATGCTACTGCCGAGCGTCCTGATCTTAATGGTTGGGCTTGACAACCACTGTTTACAAATAATCATACTTACATTATGCGGTACAATGCAATACAATGGTGGAGAGTACATTCATACTTACGAATCCTAATCAACTGCTTAAATATAAACCTAGTAGCCTTTCCGTTCTAAAATTAAAGGAGATATATTTCGTATAAGAAGTACATTTGACATACATCTTCATCACTTGTGGCTCAGTTAGTCAGAATGATATAAGTAAAGTAATGTAATAACACCTTATGGTTGAAAACCGAACGTCTTTCTTACTAAACTACTTCTCAAGTAAAGTCTTTTTATGAATAAAAAAAACCTACATCACATCACTATTATTCGCCGATTCGACTGACATATGCTTTCAATTTTTCAGGATTTAAAAAACCAAGGGATGCCAAGTAAGTTACCAAATATGTCACAACATGCTTACGACAGATTCTTGTCAAAATAGATATCGTCGAATACTTCAGCGCAGAAAAGAAAGGCGAAGACAGGAAAAATTTCGCAAGAAGATAGCTTTGCGCAATAAAACAAGGGCAGATATAGAACTAAACCGTTATCACAGCAAAAAGTTTCGGAAGAGGGAAGTCTCTAACAGATTGCAAATCGCACTGCATGAAGGAATAAGGATCTACATAGATTGTTCTTATGAGGCTCTTATGTCTCCTAAAGTTCGTGTTAACGCGGAAAGCTATCACTTTGTAGGAATGTAATAAATTCGCTCAACAACTATGTCGACTTTATGGAGCAAACAAAAAAGCAACGAAGCCCTTAAGTATTAACCTTGTGAATTTTTCACAACATGGACCTTTATTTCATGCTTGCCAGTCCAAATGTGACGGATTCCTAAAGTATAAGGTCAGTTTCTTGTATGTATAACACTTCGTATTCTTCATCTCTCAATATTTGTGTTGGAAAAAGTTCATTCTTGAAAATGCGTCGATTGGACCTAGTATCAAATAGGTATTATAATTTCTTATGTTGAAAACTGGTACACCTTCAGATTTGTGTTGACTAGACGAGCAGTAGCTAAGTTTTCATACACATTCTCTTGATGTGTTGCTTGTGTCTTTACTTTCTAACGTTAGTTACGTTCCTTATGGTCCAATACTGTTCAGCGATGACATATTGTTATACATTATAAAAGGTCTTTTTGAAATGTACGCTAGACGATAACTGATTGCCTCGAGGGTCACTACTCATAAACTACTGGATGGAATTGGGTCTGTTCATTGATAAAGAGAAAGTAAAACTTCGGGACACAAATCCGGCTGTCTTACTAACATCAAGAAATTTAAACATTACCGACATTTGAGGAATAATGTCCAAGAACTGACACGAGATTCTGTCGAATTACCAACACTGAAATACGCAAGACGGCCAACTACGTATTAACGACACATTCTTGTCGGTAAGGACCTACAACTAAACATTGAATATGTCTAAATCTAGTCTCTCCATACACACCATGGATTTTACATTCTATTCATTAAATTTATACATTCTGCGAGGGTTAATGGTACTTCTACCGAATTGCTCAAATAAGGGGTGTATCAACCCTACTGGCTGACGTAGTGAACCACAGCTTCGCAATACGTCGTTAAGCATGCTATAGGTGGTCTGGAACTTCATAATTGATGTTTTGGAGTAGGTTTATGTCTGTTTACCCATCAACCTTCTACTCCATTGTTGTTTTAGAAACCACCTGAATAACAGTATTCGCATAAAATATGATATGAAACACAATCCTATTTCGACTGCTATACTGCGCGGCTGGTTGTTATTTACCAATGTAGCTCCACTATCTCACTAGCCTGGTAAATGGTCGTATGTATGTGTGCACTTCTAGCTTCGTAACAAAAACGATTCATATCCAGATATACAGTTTTCGTATTATTTCGCTTTATTACAAAATGCTATTTAACTATCTCATAGATTGGATTGTACTCTGAAACACCATCAAGCATTACACCAGAAAATATAGAAATCGTGTACCTCAGTCCGGACGCAAAAGAACCACTGATATCTATATCGGAAAATTGTGCGTACGTTCTAGGATGTCTTGTGGATGAACATATACTAAAGGTAATACTGTGTAGTAGGAAACACTTTTAGCTCTACCAACAGTAGTTATATTTTTGTGTAGTAAGTAAACCTACTTTTAATCTTCAGATATATACTACCAGCAAATGTTTGCTCATTTATTTCAATATACAAAAGCAAACAGACGAACTAGAAATAGATTAAAAGTATGTTCAAGATTTGGATAGTAATGATTAGTCTTGTTATTTAGAACATCAACTGCTGCTATTTATCGAGTCACTGACTTCCCATATGCATTCTTAGTTTGATGCTTAATTCTACCTACAATGTAATGACTATATGATTATTATGTTTACTCACTCATTCTACTTACACTCCTATAAAAGTTAGAAAGAGTATGCAGTTCTGATTAGCACTTGTGGTCATTTTATTACGGAAAATACTCACAAACCTTCGTACGACTGCGTGAACTACCTCAACATAAAAAAGTCTACGGACAGGAGTTCCTAATCATTTTTCACCAGTGTAAGGCGCTAGTTTTTTCCAATCCCAAAAGATATTTATTTATTTGAACACAAATATTGGTACAAAGAGGCACCGAATATATATGCACCACACAAGTCACTTGATTTATGTCTGGGTTATAATACTACCCGGGTGCCCAAACCGAAGCAGATGGTTTTCCTAGGAGGTCACACCTGAAGCCTTCGACCTTAAAGTCTAATCTACAAGGCAGTAGGGCAACGTTCGGAGATACAATCCCATAGTGGCCAGTGACTAACAATAGGTTTGTATGTCATTTGTTCCCTTAGAATTCTGGAGCTCATGTACACCATTAGTTTGGACCCAACTTCCCTAAGTGGGTCCTCCATATTCATCAACCCCGTTAAAGTGCTAAACATTCGTAATTTCGTAAACAACACCCCCCTCAGGGAGAAGTCAGTGAGTAGGACTTCCCTGGCAGTGGTTGTATGCACGTGGCCTTGTGAGAGCATTTCGAGAGGGAGAGCTGACTCTCCCTACTGTCGGTCGTGCCATAGCATTTGTGGGCGAAAACCGTGATCAACTCGTTTAAAAAAGGAAGTTCAAGAAAAAGTCAATATGCCCTACAAACTAACAGATACATTCCTAGAGTCCAATTACTTTCTTTTGGGACATCTGGAATCTAAAGTCTAGCAGCAGTTGCTTTTTTAGAGAGCAGTGATGACGAAATTAGATGAGACCAGGTAGCTGAATGCACTCATAGAAAATCAGCGACAGTTGGCACTCGTGTTAAATATCAGAAAACATGGCTACTCCCTGATGTAGATTAGCAGTGTATAGGTACAATATAAAATATTTGACACTAATAGCCTCTTTCATTCTGACAGTTTATCATTAACATACTTGTCCTATTGGTATTTATATTTACCACCAGCGTCTCCTAGCTCGTCTTGCTTGTAAATATTAGACCTTCACTGCTTTTTATTGTAATTTCCCTGATCCTAACCGGCTGTTAGTCTTAGTTTCCGATTTGTACCTACCTCAACTAATTTTCATACGGTCAATCACAATAACGACTATGCTCCGAAGGGCTTTGCTAGGGACTCCATGTATTCATTTTTTTGTACGGACTGGTTCTCAAATGTCGTAAGTAAAAACTGCACCGACGGTTTCTGCTGAAATGGATACTGGTTGTTCACATTCCGAGGCTGTTATTTAAATAGATAAATACTGCACGTAAAAAAGTTGTTTAGGACAAATATGGTGGTAAACACGGATTGTAATCAAATTTATTTCAGTATTTTCCAGGTTTATGTCCATTGTTATACTACTAATCGTTATTGTGATCAGGTCTTATTTTTACTTTGCAACTGACTATACGTCAACTTTCTTTCTAGGGACGTAGCCGACAAGAAGCTGAGAATCAAGGTTACCGTGCCGTGCGACTCCCTATTGAAGAGTTCACATCTGGAAAAAATGCCAACACTGTGTTAGCGATAAATCATGTCGTCGATATATTGTTAGCATATATAGAAAATGGCGGTGACTGGAAGGCGGCCTTACATTCTAAATTGCCTCAAAGATTTTTAAAATAATACATATATATGTGACACTTTGTTATAACTCATGAAGAAATACAAGTTCTATATTAAAAAAAACTGTGACTTCTTCGGAAACTGAATTACATGAAAGTTAGTTAGCGACTTGGTGTAGCACAAAACAGTCTTCGACTTATTTACAATGGTCAGGAAATCACTGCATGTAGGACCTAAGGAGCAAGATTAATTTGATTATTGGAACTTACGGTAATTTAGTACTGATAAAAATTCGTAAGGTAAGCAACGATACCAGGATGCATCCGATTCCCAGTGCCATCAGTAAGATACGGTTTAACTTTGTGACCTTGGCCTCATTGACTTTATCCATTACGATGAATCCGAAACCTCCCATAACAAACATGAAACTGGCTGCGAGTCCTTCAAGTATGTATTGACTGTTTAGGCGCCAAACCATGATAGCTACCTAAGTACCATTGAAGAAATGATAAGTTTGATTTACCGGTTTTTGATTGCCCCTGGCGTCGGTTTCTGTCCCCATGCTTGGAGGACCAACGATCATATCGTAAATGACTCCTGTATGGGGGAAATATGTTCGTAAATAACCATGCACATAAGCACAACAATGCACAATCAACCTGGTCTTAACCGACTGTTATCTTTAATGCTTGCACTTCACGATATGAAATTAAGGCACAAAAATGTCATGATGATGTATAAAAAAAGTGCGCAGAAACTTGCTATATATTTGGTAGATCACCTCACTAGTTATTTTCGGGGGTATCCCGTAATTTACGGATAAGAGTTCTTTCGCCGGGCATTAGGACTTATACTTGGGAGCTGTTTACGCTTACCAATAAACGAACATTTATTAAGAGATTCTTCGTCACATAATACAAGAAGCATACATTGAGAAGCGACACATCTCGGGAAAGGATCTTTGTACAACTAGCGAGTACTTACTCTCATTTTGGCAGTCGGATCGCCGGTTGACATGAGGTCTCAGTCCGTTGATGTTACAACTTGTGGATAGAGATAGCTTCTAGGAGACGGACTGCACAGAAGTCGTATGGCGTCAACTCACTTTTAAACACTAGCTTTCGCCTTTGTTTTGATCGAGAAACAATCTTGTGAAAGTCATTTGCCTGATTAGAATTTGCGACAGATGGCCCTCTGTAAATTCATGCGTTTTAAACCAAGGATATGGAAAGAGGGTAGCAGTCGCGATAATAGCTTGACAGCATACTCAAAGTCCGTGTCCCGAATCGCTATATTTTTGTGGTGCAGGTAATGCTACTTAGCTTCCTATGAGGAACTGCAGCTTACACATGGAATATAGCTGAAGACCGACAGCCGTCTTACAGTGTGCACAGTAACCTTGAATGACCGTCAAGGTATTTTACGTGAGCTGTAACTACCAAAAGCAAGATCTTCAGATGTGAAAACAGACCTCAGTAATTTAATGATTATCGATAATCAAATGCAACCGGAGGACCCCGTGAAGGATGTTTCAAGTTAAGAACCACATCCAGGGTTAGTATTAGTAGTACATTTGACTTACTTAGATTAAATCCTACAATGAATAAAAACTGACTAAAATTGGTTTTCCAGCCTGCAATACTAGATTTTAGCCGCTGGAATGTCTCAGAAAAGAACATACGATTTTATATTATACAAGTGCATGATACCATTTTTTAACCGCATAAGTGTACTTGAGAATACCGGGAAAAATCTAAGAGGTGTCAATGAAAGTGCAAAAGACCTCTAATTAACAGCTAGCTAACGATAAAAACTCCACCAGTACATAATACAAATATAATTTTCGTAAAAGTACAAAAACCCCTAAAAAGTTATGTTTGAGAACACAAGTGCGAAATAGAACTTACCCCCTGTAATTAAAAAGTAACTAAGGATGAGAATGGAGAGGAAAACCATTGGAGGCGGCCAAACAAGGAAACTCGGTTTCTTTATTTTCAGTCTAGGGCATTCAACTATTGAAAATAGTGGAGCAAGGAGACAATCCATTTTCGTCTGTAGCGCAGAGTTTTGAACCTGCTGGCAACCGAAAGTGACGTCGACAAAAGTAGGCTTCAGAAAAGTGAAACATGGAAGTTTGGAGTACTGGCAAACGATGGTCCATAATATGACAAATAAAGCCTAATACTTTTTGAGGTCACAAAGTTTTTGAGCCATAGTTTGTGTTCTGTTAAAAATCTTATGATTGCAGTGTATCACTTCCCATGTAACCCAGCCTACTTTTCTGAAAGAGGTATTTTAAAGAAATTAATAATAATAAAGTGTATGAATCATTACAAAAATTTGTATTTTTAATTAGTTTTTGATGTGGTGTGTTTGAAGCTAACTTGCAATCTGATGAGTCATCTGATGATGGACTGAAGAAGTCCGTCACAGTGATTTCAGTTTCAGTTTGAAAAGGAGAGGACGCCGGATGATCTATGTCTGTTCTGGCAAAAGTGATCTCACAGTTGAATAAACCTTCTTTTGAAAGAGTCGATCAATGGAGTCTGAACCACATACTGAGGTAATGAATTCCACTGGTTGATGATTCGACGGGAAAGTCGATGGTAAGCTGACAAGCAATTTGTTCTGGGCTTGTGAAGTTTTCTAGAGTGTCCTCGTGAATACTCTGTCTTGAAGTGCGAAAAATGAGGGCATATCAGGTGCAAATTTATCACTAAGTAATTTAAAAACTGTAGTCAAGTCACTTTTAGTTCCTCGATATCACGGCGGGAATAAGTTGAGCTTAGCCAGTCGAGCATCATACGGAAGCTTCACTATTGCGGGAATCAGCTTAGTCGCTGTGTTGTGAACCTTCTCCGAAAGCTCACTGTCTTTTTTAGACAAAAGCTAGTCGCTTGTATGCAGAATTCAAGTTTAGAACGCACGAACACTGTATACGAAGTCAAAAACGTCTTAGCGTCGGCATGACTAAAGGCACTACGTATTGACCATAAGCTTCTAGAACCTTTAGTGACTACTGCACCGCAGTGTGAGGTAGTCTTTGAGTCGTGGCCGACGATGACCCTAAACTCATTGTGTGTCTGGATAACAGGTAGCTCAGTGTTATTCATTATGTATATATCTGTACCCTGATGACCAATATGTATCACAGTATAGTTGGAAGTATTTATCGGCAACTGCCGGGTTTGAGAGAATTCAGATAATTTCTTCAGATTTTTCTTTTCTAGTTCTATCCAGTTCTTGTTCATTCTTCTCATGTCTGTCTCTATTTCTCGGCGTAATGTGTTCTTTGGTCTTCCTCTTCTCCTTTGACCTTCAGGATTCATAAGAGGAACAACACTGGTCCTAATACTGTACCCCGAGGCACTCCCCTAAGCAGACTTTCCCAGCTAAACAACTTGGGTTTCACCCGTACTCTTTGTTGGCGCCCAACTAGGAAGTCTTTTATCTACATCAATAGATTGCGTCCAACTCAAACAATTCTTAACTTATAAAGCACCTGGTTTTGAGGAACTTGATCAAAAGCTCTACTGAGGTCAATGTGAGCCACGTCTATAGTTAACTTTTGGTCTTTTAGAGCGCACCAGCTTTTACGAGTCAATAATAAGTTAGTGGGAAAGGAATAACCTGTTCTTAAACCATGCTGCTTTTCCGAAAGCATGCAGTTTTCATCGAAATATTTAAACAGCCCCTTCCGGATAATTTTTTCTAAAATTTCAACAACTACACTAGTTAGGCTAACGGGTTGGAAATTCTCTGGTTTATGTCTCGCACCTGTTTTGAGGACTGGACTTACTGTGGCGTTCTCCTAGTCTCTTAGTAATCAACCCTGAGATAAGGATAGAGTAAAACATATACTTAGAGAGTTCGCAACAAAGTTATCTAATTCCCTTACTAACCTAGGATGTAGTTCATCGGGTACCGTGGATTTGCCTATGTCACGCTTATTCAGCAGACCAAAGATATCGGGTTCTTTAACGGTCACCTTTGTACAGTGTGTGTGGGGGAGATACGCATGGACTGACTAGAAGGGTGTTTCGACGCTATATACATTGCTAAAGTAGTTTGAGAATATGAAAGCTTTACTGAAGTCGTCCTCTACTAATGACGAAGCATTACTGTCTCCTCTTATAGTGCTGGAATATTACCTCTTCTTTTTGTCCTTTGGTTTATACAAGAATACAAACGTTTAGAACATTTCATAGATTCCTTAACCATTTTCTGTTTGCACAACCTTCTAGACTTACGGAGGGTCAAGGCACAAGTATTCCGAGCTTCTCGATATTGAGATTTCGTTTCATCAGTCCCCAGTAACCTGAATCTATCCTACATTCCTCTATTATTACGGATAAGGGTGTGAACCTCCCTACTGAACCAAGGTGGAGAGTTTCTCGGCCACTTTGATGTAGTCCAAGGAATGTAGGGTGCAGTAAATTTTCATTATAAATTTCGAAATACATCCCAAGCTGTTTCAAATGGGTTTTGGCTCGATTTTCCTATCTACTGACGATGCCGAACGTATAAAATGTTGTATATTAGCTTTCAAGACGTTCAATGTAGGATGGGCTGATGCGTGCTCGTTTCTGATAACTATATGGAAGTCGAAAGTTAGAACTGTATGATCACTTTTACATTAGAGTGGCATATAATCAAGGTTCGTGACATCATCCTCACAATGAGTGCATTAATGTCCCCCAGAATTATACATGAACCACTTTGTGACCAAGTATTGGAATTGTTTATCAAGACCTCATTTAACTTCACAGCTTCGACTGAGGTAGACCAAACCAATCAGCAGCTCTTGTCCCTTGCATTTAGAGCGGCAACTAACCAATTCACGTATCCCACTCTCATGGGATACACTACCAATAATAGGGTAGTACTCCTAATGAATATGGCTACTCCCTCTCTTTTACGCTTCTGGATTCTGTCGGCTTTTACCAACGTGAAACCCTCAAAATCAAGTTCCATATTATCTGAAGGCTGCGTCAGCCAATTTTCTGTGATTGTGATTATATCTGACTTGGTAAAGTCATTCTGAACAACTAGTTCCGACCGCTTATTTGAGCAAGCTTCGGGAATTTGGTGCAACAGATCTCAAGCCCATTTAAA